CAGCTTACATAGGATAGTATCATACTATCTAATTGTTTGTTTGCTGTGATACTGATGTCAATCATTAATACTTTTATACACTTTTATATAGTATTTTATATGTTTTGTTATCAAAGCTGTCTAGTAACGTGCTCTGTGTTTGTGTTTTTTGGTGACTAGTGCGATTCATGGAATAAACATCACTGGGTATATAAAGTATGTATAACTAATACAACAAGTTTTAAACCCACCAAAAATCACCAACAAATCGCACTATATAGTATTAATCACGATACACGTGCTCTGCAGTGACGTTACGACAATCCTGCCACTGGTAACGACGAGCCGACAACTCTCTGGGTGACGTCACGAAGCTCCGCCCACATGCGCAACATCCTATCTTCAGTGTATGTGTATCGTGGTCTGCACCATTATAAGACAACAAACTAAAGTAGACTTAACAGTACTATTAAAACCTCACACAATATGTGCAGGTTGTCCCAACGGAAATGAAAAGTATTTTAATCGAAAAACTATGAAAGATTTCGAAACCGATTTGCGTAGCAAGATTGACATCTTATATGTGTGTAAATCTAAATTATTTGGAGGTATGCAGGGTATTGCACAATTCTGCGGTACATAAAACATGTTTTTGAATGATACACTCTATTTTATCATGTTATAATCAAATAACTGGTCTAATAAAATAGTATTACATCCGATATCAGTTTCAATTAAAATGTTTGAGGAAAACAAGGTCTTGCGTTTTGTAGTATCCTGTCAGAGTTTCTCGTCCTTTTTCCAAAATTCAGTGAAAAACTTTTTTGATAACTGGTAAAATAACTAAACGAATAATCAAAATACTACAGTATATCAATAGTCCTGTTTTCGAAAGGTATTTCCAAATATCAAATATAATATAGGGTGTTCATTAATAAAACATGTTTGTTGCCACGGAATTGTGCAGCACCCTATATATTTCCAAATAATTCAGAGATGCACACCTTCAAGGTATCAAACTTTTCCGGAAACCGTTTTCTTTTCTATACTGAGTTACAAAAAAGGTAAACACCTACGTACTATATGTTTATCCGATTTTAATAATTTTTGGCATATATGTTCAGTGTCCCTTAGTAGTAGAACGATTAAATTTTCAGCTTGATTTATCAACTGACTGCAGAAGCTGGTTGAATAATGTGTTGAGGATCCTCGATTTCTTATACACTCATTGACACGCCTGGGCATCGTGCTGATAAGGTGGTCGATATCCTGTTGGGGTATCTTATTCCAGGCTACTGCAGCTTCGTGAGTAAGAGCTGCTAAAGTCTGTGGAGGGTGTTGATAGGTTAGACGATCGTAGTTGCCAAGGTATACGGTTGATGCGATGTTGATTCATGAAGGCTAACGATGCGCTGGCAACATGTGGTCTGGCATTGTGATGTTTCTGTAAATCCTCAACAAAAATACCTGATTTTCAAAGTGAACTTTTTTTATAGACAATGTTTGCTGTATCTCTGAGAATAAGGTGGTGGGGGGGTAATCAAAGGTGAGCCGATTTTAACAAACTTGGGCTAGTTGAAAAGGGCTTTGGAGCTACAAATAATAATATTCGAAGTTTTGTTAGTCTTACATGTGGCCGCTAGAGGGCTTTTTTCAACATTCCGACAGAAATGGTTAGTTTTCTCAAAAAATTAGATGTATTGGTATGATTTTTTCATGAGCAAGTATCTCAATGATGTATAAACAAGCTCTTAAAAACCGCATCTCTATATCTTGTTCCTAACCTAAAATTTTGGCCGAAGATTTTATACGGATAATATTTTTAAAATAATTTTTCTCGAATTCGCGACACGATATCAAAATCGGCGTCTTTGTGATGTGAGAGTTTTTTCCCTATTGGTGGCGAGCTCACGAACCAATGGTAGTTTTCGGCATACATTTCAACGGTAAAGAGTTGAATTGGGCATATCACGAACAACGGTACAACAAAATATTTTGAAGGACCATAGGTAAGTTATAATGGCCATCAAAATATAGGGATTTATTTCTATTTAACTTTATTAACTACTTTTAGAATGCACCCATATCATGTCGTTTTTCATCAGGCCTTGGAAGAGAAAGAGAGAGAAACGAATATTTATTTCAAATCCGGTGGACCGATGAAGCCACCTTTAATAGCGACAGGAGTGTCAATCTGCACAATATTCATGATTGGTCTGCAGAAAATCCGCATTGGTTACGTGAAGTTCAACACCAAGGTTGTTCAGATGTGTTGTGTGGCATACTGAGAGGCAGAGTTATTGGGCCATATTTTTCCGAGCAATTCCTAAATGGCAACGTCGATCTTGACTGAGCAACCAATTACCGTTGTTGTTGGAAGATGTGCCACTGAAAACATGGCAAACATGTTTTTGCAGTTAGATAGTTGCCCAGCACATTTTGCTGTTATTGTGGGAGAGCATATTAATGCAGTATTTCAGCGGCGGTGGATTGGAAGAAGAAGTCTGTTTCCATGGCGTTCGCAACCACCAAACTTAACTTGTTTTGAGTTTTATTTATGCGGACGGTTGAAGGACATTGTATTTCAATCTACAATCAGAGAAGATATGAAAAACCGGAAACCGCTTCTCATTTGTCTACGCATGAGAAGCTTCAAGAATGCACAGGGCGTGATGGTCAGCATTTCGAGCATGTACGGGTGCATTAAAATCTTTTATTTTTTAAATCGGTCTTTTTTAGGGCCACAGCCTAATAATAAAGAGAAATTCCAGAAAAATTAGTTTGAAAACATAAAAATTTAAGGGATATGCGTACAAAAATTTCTTTGGCCTAAATTTTAGGTTAGAAACAAGATATCGAGGTGTCGTTTTCGCGAAGTTGTTTAGACATCATGCTATTTCATAAAAAAAATCATACCAATGCATCTAATTTTTTGAGAAAATTTACCGATTCTGTCGGAATGTCGAAAAAACCCTCTAGCGGCTACATGTAAAACTAACAAACCTTCAAATATTATTATTTGTAGCTCCAGAATAGCTCCTTTCAACTAGCCTAAGTTTATTCAAATCGGCCCAGCCGTTCCGAAGTTTTTCACCGAGACCTTTGAATACCCCCAACACTATTTTTAGAGGTACAGCAAAAATTGTCAAACAAAAAAGGTTCAGATTATCTTCGAATTCAAAGGTCAGGTATTTTTTTGTTAGCTTAATATAGCGGAATTCACAGAAACATCATGTAATGTCTTAGTTGGTATCAATAATACCCGGAAGTATACTAATGGTTTATTATATATCACCGATAACTGTTACAAATCCGGAACCCCGACATACTGTGTGTTAAACGTATCCCGCTGAGAGTACTCATCGTACATGCGCAATTTTCGGGGAACCAGGGGCGTACTTAATATACTACATTCATCTCCCCCGAAAATTGTTAACAGTGATCAGATGGGTAACAATAAAAAAAAGAAACAATTAATGAATGGTTAGTATTGGAGCCTATCCGGTACCTTACGGATATGTATGGGTCGTGTAAGTTCAGCCTGTTCACCAATGGAGCTAGAATCCGAGTCACTGACATCCACGCGTTCACTATCCGCGATTCCGGCATCCACAAACACATCATCGACCGAACTACCGGCAGAAGTATTGCTGGTGCCATCACTATTGGAAAAAACGTTTACAGTGTGCAGTAGCTCCACGCAGGGTGGGTAGACCAACGAATAATCATCATTTAGTTCTCTGATCTGATTAGTATCTCTTTTCCAAAGGAAATTTGAATCTAGTGGTCGAACAACGTAAACGTTTTTCCCTAAAATTTTAACAACTTGTCCTTTACATCAAGTTACTTGTTTATCGCGATAATCTTTAACCAACACAATTTGGTCAATATTAAAACATACTTTCCTATTTCCTCTGAAGTATTTTGCGTTTCTTCGTTGAGAACGTTGTATGTTTTGGTAAACATTTTCAAGTTCAACTTTTTCATTGTCTTGGACTGAGCTTGGTCTAAGCATGTCAAATCGAGTTCTCGACGAACGACCTAAAAATACTTTAGCAGGAGAATAACCAGTAGAACAGTGAACAGTATTCCTATATGTCTTAAGGAATTGAGCTAATAGTAAATTACAGTTCTTTTGATCACTAACCTTTTTCAAAAAATGTTTAACAGTTTTTACGCTATTCTCAGCTGCACCATTACAATGAGGTTCATAAGGCGGAATAGTTATTAGTTTAATACCATTAACATTTGCAAATTGTTTAAATTCTTCTGACACTAACTGGGGACCATTATCACTTGCAATAGTCTTAGGCAATCCAAATCTAGAAAAAAGTTCTCGCAGCTTTGTAATAGTCATGTTAGTGGTAACAGATGCAATCGGAAATACTTCAAGCCATTTGGAAAAGGCATCAACGACAATCAAAAGAAATTGTTTTTCTTCGGTTCAAAAAAAATCTATATGTATCCGCGACCAAATGCCCTCGGGTATTTGCCAACATTGTAACGGTGCCTTGGCCGGCGATGATTGCAAGCGTTGACATATGTTGCACTGCTTACTAACACTTTCAATATCATCATTCAAGGACGGCCACCAAAAGTAAGATCTCGCAAGATACTTCATTTTAACAATTCCCAAATGGGTAGCATGCAACTCCTTCAATATCACCTCTCGTAACTGAAATGGTATGATAACTCGATGTCCCCAAAGCAAGGACATCGTCTTCAACATTGATTTCATTTTTCCTACTGAAATAAGGTTTCAATTCATTACTTTTATGACTTGCAGGTCACCCCTTTTTAACAAAATTGAGTACCTCAGAAAGTACTGAATCTGAGGATGTAAGTTCTCTGACCTTGTTAACATCGACTGGTATACTAGAATCGGAATTAGTGAGATAATTTAAATGAATGGGGAAGTCGATCAGTTGCACAGACATGTCATCTTCAATCGGCATTCTGCTTAAGAAGTCAGCTACATTTTGAATGGATGACACATGCTTGATATCAAAATTGAAGCCACTCAGAAAATGTGCATATCTCTGCAGTCTATTTGCTGCCATCACTGGAACACCCGTTTTAGGTCCAAAAATTGACATGAGTGCCTTATTATCTGTGACCAAGGTAAATTTTCTACCCCACAAATATTGGTAAAATCGTTTAATACTCCAAACAATCGCGGTAGCTTCTTTATCCAAAATAGAGTATGCCAATTCGTTTTTCGAGAGAGTTCTTGACGCATAACAAATTGGCTTTTCGACATCATTTTCAAAAACATGAGATAAAATTGCTCCCACTCCATAGTCCGAGCTATCAATAGTCAAAGTAACTGGTAGGTCAGGATTATAATGCACCAACACATCGTCAGAACATAATGCAAGTTTAATATACTCAAATGAATCCTGACATGTTTTATCCCATGACCAACTTACATCTTTTTTCAAAAGATTATATAAAGGGTGAAGTAAATCTGGGAGATTTCTGATGAAACGATTATAATAAGTGATACTGCCTAAAAAAGACTTAAGTTGAGTGACATTTTCTGGTGGAGAAATGTCGCGTATTGCCTTAACTCTTTCTAAACTTTTATGTAGGCCTGTCTCGTCTATAACAAACCCTAAATATGAAATGGAATCAGCCAAAAACACACACTTTTCTTTTCTAACAGTGAGACCACATTCGGAAAGACAAAGTAAAACCCTTTTCAAATTTCTAATATGATCTTCTTTATCGATACCTGTAACTAAAATATCATCAAGAAAAACACATACACGGGGCATTTTATTGAACAGCTGCTCCATAATTCTTTGAAATTGTGCTGGAGCGCAGTTTATTCCAAACGGCAATCTATTGAATTCGAATAAACCTTTGTGAGTCGAAATAGTCGTAAATTTTTTTGAAGAGTCCTCGAGCTCTATTTGATTGTAAGCCGATGAGAGATCAATTTTGGAAAATTGCTTTCCATTTTTCAGTTTTGTGAATAAGTCGTCAATTCTAGGCAAGGGAAATTTGTCCACTAGAATAGCTGAATTAATAGTTACCTTATAATCACAACAAATTCTTATTCCTCCATCTTCCTTCAAAATTGGTACTATTGGGGTACCCCATTCTGAAAACTCCACTGGAGATATTATACCATTAGAGACTAATTTATCTAATTCCTCCTCCACTTTACCTTTAATTGCAAATGGTAACGGTCTAGGTTTATGGAAAATGGGATTTGCATCCAGTTTAATATTTATGGAGATCTTACACTTGTTGAACCTTCCCAAATTGGTTGCAAAAACGCCAGGAAACTCATTACATAGAGCATCAACAGCATCGTTGTTCAAATAATGAATTTCTCTAAATCCCATATTATAATTCCTAATAAAATCTCGACCTAGGAGCAATGGATTGTTACCATCAACAACAAAAAAGCGTAGGATGCTATCTTTGAAATTAAATTTAACATTTAAGTTGATTGTGCCATGTGGGATGATCTTATTGCCAGAAAAATTAATCAAGGAAACATTTGTTTTTTCATGACGTGAGCACCAAAATATGTTTTGTAAACATGAAGTGGCAAAACACTAACAGCTGATCCACTGTCAAGTTCAAATTTCAACATGACATTCTCAACTAAAATATCGATATATAGTGGCACATCATTGTTGCTTCCTAAGCTAGAAATACTTAGAACTGGGGATGAAAAAACGTCTGTATAATCCTCAGCAATATCATTATTAGGAAAAAAATAATTAACGTGCTTAGGTGAGGATTTGTTTTTTCTTTTTACACACCACACTGAGATGACCCCTACCGTGACAAGAGTTACAAATATATTCCTTATAGGGGCATACATTACTGTTGTGGTTCCTCCCGCAGTGGAAACAGCCCGGAGAGCGACCAGACGATGTGAACGGCTGTAGCTGCGGCAGCGCCATGTTTGAGCTGTTGCCCCCACTCCTGCGCGTGCCTCCTTGGCTCCGCTGCGCTGCAGGTACTGCTGTCCCTCTATGATACCATTGAGGATCTTGATGTTGATCGGCAGTGGCACCAACATTTGAATTATTTTGTGTAATTCGAAAAACATTGGATTCTAAGACCTCGCTTTAACTTCACCAACTGGGTCTCTTATTACTAGCGTTGCTTCGATAATTTTGGCCTTTTCAACAGCGTTATTTAAGGTGGTGTTCTCGTTTAGGGTGAATAATTCAGTTCTCACCTTCCCAGGATTGAACTGCGTAACAAAAATGTCCGTTAGCTTGGACTCAAGCTGCTGACCAAAATTGCAATAGCGAGCTAAACCTTTAAGTCGTACACTCCATTCTAGTGCCGTCTCATTTCCTGATTTGGATGCACTATAAAACTTCTGCCTTTCGACCCATACAACAGCAGTTTTACCATAGTAGTTAGACAATAACTGAACTATGTCTTGGTATGGGGTTTCTTCCGGCTTTTGCGGCATACATAAATTTTCTAATAAAATATACGCCTCCTCAGACAAACTATACAGCAAATGAGCTCTCTTGTCAGCTTCTTCAGTGACCCCGTGTACTATAAAATACTGCTCTAACCTTTTGAAGAAAACTTCTCGCTCGTTCTCCTTGGGATTGAATGTGAGCACGGGACCCGCTGCTGCAACTGCCATCTTTCTTGTGCACAGATTGGTTCACCAACAACTGGAGGTTTCAACACAAACGAGGAGTTTACACACACTTAACCTCACCCGGCGAGTTCTTTAATAACCCTCGTCGCCATGTAATGTCTTAGTTGGTATCAGTAATACCCGGAAGTATACTAATGGTTTATTATATATCACCGATAACTGTTACAAATCCGGAACCCCGACATACTGTGTGTTAAACGTATCCCGGTGAGAGTACTCATCGTACATGCGCAATTTTCGGGGAACCAGGGGCGTACTTAATATACTACACATCACTTTTTTAGATTCAAGATTGCAGTTACGCCCCCTAGCGGTCATTTCAAAACCTCGGAACTATTTTCCAGGTTTTTTCTTGTCGCAAGCCTCGCATTCTTAGTTGGCCTCTCTGTACATTAAAGACGAGTCAGTTTTCGTAAAATAGTGCAGGAAGGCGTATCCACAGGGACTAAGGCACCAAACTTTTATACCTTCTAGCATTTTTGAACTTTTCGCCGATTATAACATTTGATCAGCACAATTTGAGCGATCACTATACGAATTTTCTTCTAAATTGGCCCGTGGTCAAATTCCATATCTTGTGCCTGGTACTCAGGAATGCATCCTTGTAATTACTGTTTATAATTAAGTAACACCCTGTATAATGGAGTCTTATTTCAAATCAAATTTGAACAAAAACTGCTGCCTTAAAAATAAACTAGGAAATCAAGGAATGGTTCCTCGTAATATCGGAAATTATTTGTCAGCATCGACGTTTCGATGCATAAATTTCTGTTGGAGCAGAGTCCATGAAAATTTATGGTAATGGAAATGGCGCACTGGTGCAGCCGTTTCAACGGTAACTGTGTCTGGCTGGAGTCCTGGAATAATTGGCGACAATCAACGTTTATTCTAGCCCGGATTATAATCGTTACGCTATTCCGACATAGATAACCCTTCCCGTTTTACCATACATTTATAGAACATAACCGGTTATGTATAATAGGGGAAGTAAGGCATTTTGTTTGTGTTGGTATTTCATATAGGTACATGTGGAATAATATTTAGTAAAAGGTGAGCCATTAAAATTTTGAATCGGTTATAAAAATGGCGTCAAGTAAGCTGACTCTGCACTTCCTACGCAACGTCATCATCAGTTCATAGTTCTGAGGAAAAAACATGTTGAACAGAGAAATTAAACGGATTCAGTTAAATATACCCATACAATTAGTCCACAGACTTGATAGACAGAGCTTATCAGGATTACGCAGGTCGAAAGCATTTCTTTATCATTCTGTTCTAAAGGCAAATGTACGGGGAAATCTCTGAAATATGTCGAATAGGTGCATGGACTTATTGGGGTTGAGTGTGTATAGATACACTAAGATCATTTCAACCCCTACATTTCGGCTTTTATCTTCGCAGACAGACTGACAGACAGACAAACATAGAGGTCGACATACAGACCAGCAGGCGGACCGACACACAGACAGACAGATGGATAGACCGAGAGACAAACCGACAGACAGATAGACAGACACACTGGCAGACCGACGGGAATGAGTAACATAGTCTTTCGCGATGTACATGTCATATAACATCCAAAAATACAATATTTGATTTTAGAAATTACCTAAATATCTTGGGCAAAGCCTCAGGAATATCCAAGAAGCATGTGTTAAAAAGCTACACACAAGCTACCCGATAAATATCACCTATAGTAGTAGTGTGGTATAAAACGTTTCATTTACTTTTATTATTGGAAGTTTTCAACGGTTAGAAAAAATAGAAAATATTGTAGAAGGGAAAAAACGAAAATTCATATAGTTTTACGTGTATGTATGTTGATGAAAAGTGCATACAACAATTAATTGAAAATAAATATATTTATAAATTATACTGCACCTATTAAAATTGAAACAATTTACTAAACAATATTGCAATCCAAGGATACATTCAGCACGTAATAGTATACAATGAATCAGAATATTCCACGTTGCCAGGACAGCAAAAAATTTAACGTCACTGGTTTATGCAAAAATAAGTCTCATTTTCTCAAAGCAATATCAATTCTTGCTGAAAAGCGTCTCTCGAATTTTTTCGTAAATATATTTATTGAGAAAGTTCGAATTCAACTTCTAATTTGTGAGCTTTTCCTAGTAAAACAATTTTATTTCCAAAACGATGCTTCTGGAACGAAATACCTCAAGAGGCAATTTTTGAGTGCATGCCTAAGCTCATCTATAACTTCTTAAGTACGGCTCGGATTTTGATTAAATCTTTAAACAAAAATACTACGATGCCAAGCTTATTAGTTTTTGAAAATACGTCCAGTAGCGACGGAGCTAAAGGTAAAAAACACGAGAAAAATAATCACTTACTTCGTTTTTTGGTATTCCATAAACTTGTTTGTTGAAAGTCATAGCAGATAGGGAAGGGTATATCTCATTTTTTTAACCCCGGTAATTCTACGCACCTATTTCACAACTCACAGATTTCTCCGTATATTTGTCCTTATGAACTAATAACAGAGTAAGTAGTCGAGAACCTTCTATCTCGTGAAATCCATGTAACTATAATTTGCCAAAGATAGAGTCGTAGCAAACTTAGAATGATAGAGGAGTGTTGTGCCGCGCTGCCGCGTCGTACGGGATGGTATGCGGGAACGGCGACGTTGACAGACAGACGGTACTACTGGTAGTGAAGGGAAAGGATGTATTTGGACTAATTTTATGAGCCTGTTTGACTGACTGCCTATTTTTTCTCAGGGGGTCTAACATGTGCTGAGTATATACCTTGTAAACGGATGACGGCGTTGTGAGGGAAGTGCAGGGTCAGTCTATTTGTCGAAACTTTATCTATTGTTCGCGCTTAAATCTCTTGAATGGTAACATTGATTTCATGTCATGTATCTACGGTCTTAACGTAGCATTTATGCTTAACGGTTTCTTACAGAAAATAGTTCAGCGGGTTTCAGTCGCGGCTTTTACCCTGCCTATTGAAAATATTCCGACTAATTATTCCAATTAGTCCAATTGCAGTTTATGTCGATAGGAACAGCATCCGCAAAAATCAGCGCATTCCATAGATATCAAACAAGCTAGCTAAAGGATTAGGCTTCCCAAAAATATAATTTTTGAGTACCTAATATCCTACGAACATCATAATATGAGGACCTAACTGGTAGCTATCTGTTAAGAGAAATTCGTATAATACCGGCAGAGAAGCTTTGCGCATTAATAAATAAATAATTGAAGACGGATAGATTGGGTACAGTATACCATAAGGAAAGCTCCATTTTATTTTGAATGCAGAATAAAGAACGCCCTGTGGATAAAAACGTTCTTCCGGTGAATTTTCCTACAACCCATATCAATAACCAAACATTCTATAACAAAGATGACCTTAACAAAGACACTACACCTACTCTTTATTCAGTCTACTTCATTTAAAATGCATCTAATTGCCACATTTTACTTTGTCATTTGTATCACACAACACCCAACAATGCTACAGATAATTACAAGGGACACTTAAGCTCTTGGTGCCATTATAAACTTATATATTGAATCATCAGTCTTTTTTACCAGTATACAGAAACCATCTCCAAGGTAAGATCATTCCCGCAAATCGATTGAAAAAAGCCATTAAGTTTTTCATTAATTTTTTCAAAAATCGATAGAGTTTAGCTGTGCCATATCTTGTATTCTGCATTAGAGAAAGAATAGTACTGCCCAACAAACATCTACATAAAATGTCTCAGAATTTGGACTTTTGAGGCATTGTGGTGATCTCATTTCATAAAATCTCATCAGTGTTAGTGAAGCAACTCTGGTTTGTGAGATTTCTTACACTACCCAAATTTGTCATGACGATGGATGTTTTCAAGTAGTACATTAATCAGTTGTCTATACAGACCAGACGTTGTTTAACGGGCAAGACTGATTTTGAGTTATTTGTGGGGAATATATATTCACAAAGTATTGTTAATCAATCTCGGACTTCCGTAAATCTGCACACTTTAACTAATTTGAAGTAAATAATTGCAATCTACAGAAGCCTGGGTGCCAAATAGTTTATGGCAGATTTGCGGTAATAGTCGAGTGGAATTAAATTCAAGACACCGACAATTTGGCGGAATTTCGAACCTGATCATGATGATTGAAATTCTTGTGCGTTAAAATTGCGATAAGTAGTCATATTCGACATTGTCTTCTGCTCAGCGGCATACACACTCTGATCAGTGACAGTTTCATCGACATCATCATGTCATGACTTTGAGAACACGGAAACCTTAGAAGAAAACCGAAAGCGGACGTTTTCATTAGACCACAAATGAAATAGCTGCTAAAAGAAATCTTGTCGAATCTACGAACAAGCTTGAAAGGCGAACTTATAAATATGTCGCTTCGCTGATCCAAAGTTTACTTGCGAATCATAAATCAGAATACTATTGACAAATTAGTTAACCATAGGTTTTCTAATTTGAATCCAAATATAGATCTTTTCCACTGGGCCATCGTCGCAAACAGATAACACAATTTTGACATACATCATTAAGCTCCTCTAGCTCCTTACGCAGATTTAACGAAGACTGTGATCGATTTTCGATATGTTGTAATGTGATATCCGTCACAAATAAAACAAGCACTGTGTCGATGGTTCATTGTTTTAAATGTGAGAAAATCGGGTAATTCACTAATACAATATATGTACTCTAAATGCAAATAATTTGAAAAACTCAAACTATACTTGATGACAAACACTAATGTAATTTTTGAATGAGCATACCAAAATTCATCAAATACGATAATGTTCTGAGAAAAATTTTATGAAGTAGATGTTTGTAGGCAGTATGATAATATATTTTCCTAGTTGACAATGTTTGCAGCAAACTGTCCAAAATTGACAATTTCACAATGAAAGATTTCAAACGTTCCGAGAATATTCAGAACGGTATTATTTTTCAGGGTCTATTATGTCTCACTACACTATAGAAAAATGTTTGACAATGGCTTGGATAGTAGGGGGCCCATCCAGATATGAGACACAACAAATGGCAGCTATCTATTTTGTAGCATTAGCGATTGGTAACTGGATCACCATATATTTAATAATCAGTCTATTATTCTATAAAGAAGACACTATAACTATTGGTGATTTCGCTGAAACGTTCTCTGGAATGTCCTTGGTTATACATGTAAGTATACAAATCTTCATGGGCGCTCGTCCAATATTTTATATATATATTATTAGACATCGCAAGACAAAGTTATAAAGTCTTGGGATTCGGTCAGTTTAAAAACATTAAGCCGCGTACAGACCAGCGCAAGCCAAGGCACATGTGGTTACAGATTTGGACGTGTTCGAATCGGTGTGTACGGCGCGAGCCAACATAAGCCAGCGGTTTACAAGGTTGGCGTTGGCGTTCGATTGCGTTCGCTCCTTGATCGGTACATCAAAGGGAGGTATGATTTGGTCTGGACAGGAGTTGTTGCGCTTCTAGTATTTAGTCGTTTGTCTGCATTCGATGAGAGGAGACTCGTCGCTCGACATTAACACCGAACTTAGCCAGACGCGGTCTAGCTGGACACCAAATTTAGGTGTAGACGACGTGTAGACGAGTGCATTCCAATACCTTCCAACATCAAACGCCAACGTCACGTGTGTACGCGGCTTTATAAATTAGGCGTTTGGGTGACTTTAGACGCTATTTTCAGGTACATTTAATTTTCTAGAATAAACCAAAGTGTCAAAAATTAAAACACAAATCACGTAATTTCTTTAAAAGTGTAAAGCTAATATACAGAAAGACTTACTAATTGGCAAAAATTATCGAAATTGTGGTAGATAGGTATTAGCAGTTTGACTGTAGGTCAACGGGTAGCGATAAATATTTACCTAGAAAAAAATAATGAAAGCAGAACAAAGGTAAAAAAATATATACAAAAATCAGTTTTATAATATATACTCGTAATGACTTCCTTTATACAGGGTGTCCGAAAAAAGTGTGCAATATTCTAACAGCGGTTTCTAGAGCTTAAAATAGGAAGAAAAGTTTATATAAACATAGGTCGACAAACATCCCCTAAGGGCGCTACTGTCTTTTAAAGGGGCTCCCCTGAAGACGGTTTTTCCTTAATATTTCCGAAACGTGTTGAGATAATGACATAAAATTTGGCATTCTATCCTAGTTGTTTATGCTGGATTTAAAAATATTAACAATTTTAGACAGTTTTGTTTGTAAGCGTATGTAACGGAACTTTTGTGTGATTATATTTTTGAAATTCAATTTTATAGTTTGATAATTTAGGATTTTCTACATAAAAAAGGTACTCTTATTGAATATCGATAAATTGTGCCATTTTTGACTAAAAGCAAACTAAAAAATTTGTCACATGATAGGGAAATGTACTGCGAATTTAAATGAATTCTTGAATAATTATCCATGGCAACGAAAAAACTAATTTAATAATTGGTAAATATTACATAAATACATATTTCTATTGCAACATAGCTAACATTCATCCAAAAACAAAAGAAATACATTTTTTCTATGAACGAAATTGAAATTTGTTTAAAAAGAAGACATACAGTTGGATATACTTAAAACTAGCTTTACAATAAGTGTTCAAATAAATTCCCATTTTGTTGGATACAGAGTCTCGCTCGACGAACTTGCGTAGCCCGAAAAGTGGAAAACCTTTTTATTCTTATTTCATTTGCAGCCTGATGGATTCTTTAAAGTAAATCTTCTTGAGTATTTACTTCAGTCGAGTCAACTAGGTCTTTTAATGACCCCCAGAAATAGAAATCCAATGGATTTAGGTCAGATGAACGCTATAGGACCTCCTCGGCCTAACCACCTGTCTGGAAAATTGACATTCAACCAATTTCGAATATTGCGTCCAAAATGTGCAAGGGCGCCATCATGTTGAAAAAACATATTTTCTTGAAACTGCTGGCGCGCATCCAATGGTATTATATCCATGAGCTCATTCTGAAGAAAGTTCAGATACACCTCTGAATTAAGACGATTGGGAAGTACAATAGGCCCAATTATTTGATCCCCAATTAGTCCTGCCCATAAGTTCAATGAAAATCTATGTTGGAAATTTGTACGGCGAACAACTTTTGGATTTTCATCTGACCAGTGATGCATGTTATGGAAATTAAAAGCACCATTCCTAGTAAATATTGACTCATCCGACCATAATATCCTAGGAATAGTGTTTCATTTGCTAATATCCACTGGCAAAACTCGATTCGTGGTAAAAAATCTGCCTCCGCTAAATGCTGCACCCGTTTAAAATGATAAGGATGTAATCCTTGCATTCTTGTCATTCTTCCTATCTAAAATTATTATTTTTAAGATAACTCTCGCATTCATAAATTACTATTGATCGAGGTATATCCATAATTTCTGAAACATTTCGTATGCTTATTTGCGGATTATTTTCAAACATATTTAAAGCAATATCCATAAGACGATTTCCCAGTGGCCTTTCTGAGCCCTGCATGGGCTGAAAATTTCCATGGTTTGACAAATTCCGGTGAATATCAGTAAACATTCGACGCTGAGGTACTATGCGATTGGGAAATCTTCTTTGATATTCTCTTACGGGTGCCAATGAACTGCCATTGCAAAACCCGTACACAAAATGCATGTCAGTCAGTTCTCTGTCTGTAGTCTTGGCATTTTAAATCGATTTAATAAAGGTAGTAATTTTACACTGCTAACAATGTCAGCTTAACGTCGTTTGCAGTCATGGCTAACTATGTGTAATCAACAATTCATTTAAATTCGCAGTACATTACTATCATGTGACAATTTTTTAGTTTGATTTTATTCAAAAATGGCACAATTTATCTATATTCAATAAGAGTACCTTTTTATATAGAAAACCCTCGGTTTCAAATTCTAAAATTGAATTTCAAAATAGAATCACACAAAAATTTTGGGGCTAAAATAACCTGAGTCCGTCCCTGTTACATACGCTCCCAAACAAAACTGCCTAAAATTGTTAATATTTTTAAATCCATAAAAAACTAGGCTAGAATACCAAATTTTATGTCTTTATTTCAACACGTTTCGGAAATATTAAGGAAAAACCATCTTCAGGGGAGCCCCTTTAAAATACCGTAGCGCCCTTAGGGGACGTTTGTCGACCTATGTTTATATAAACTTTTCTTCCTATTTTAAGCTCTAGAAACCGCTGCTAGAATATTGCACACTTTTTTAGAGGCACCCTGTATATATATCTACATATTATATCATTTCAAGAATGTTTTATATAAATAGTCCAGCTCTTATTGTGGAATTCTCATATTTCTAAAGTCAAATTCATACCGATTGTCAGTTGCATGTTTGGCTAAAACGGTGGACATATCGTTTATATTTCTTGCCATACTATGCTTATACATTGTTTTGTCCGACCTATACGTAAATAAGCTTGGACAATACTACTACATACTATTTAAGTCAAGTTTTCTTCCAGATCGTTTTCGTTGGGAGGTTAGAAACGATCTAGTATTGTAATCGCGAAAAATTTCGAAAATGAGATATCATGTTTTTTGGGTGCTATAAATCGGTCCAGTGTCGACAAAGCTAAAAACGATAAAATAAAACTCACTCAAACTTCGTTTTTGACATTCCAGGAGATCCTGATCATTTTCAGAGAGACTTTTGTAGGGATTGAAATTCTAGGGTTGGGAGTTGTAGGGGGTGTGGGAGGGCATATGATTTTTTATCCTAGTATATTTATACGCTCCCAGCCCCGGTAATCCTTTGCACCTATTAGCCATACTTCACACATCATACATTTAGCCCGTAGAAGTGCTGTTAAAACTTAGAATAATAGAGAAATGTTTTCGATCTACGAACTCCTGCCTATCTAAGCTCACCCTCCGGTCCGCTGATATATCTATTTGTACAAAAACAGATACCCGCATACACGGACCTTGCACGAAACGGAAGCGACAACGTTGCTAAATGGACGGTAACTACCAGTCGGGCAGGGAAAGAATGTCTATCGACTAATTTTATGGACCTGTTTGACTGACTGAGGTTTAGTTTGTGTGCTGTACTTGTCCGTAACTGACTTTTTTCTCAGATGATTTAAATTGCGCTGATCTTAATCCTTTATGAATTGAAAACGGCGTTGCGTAGAAAGTGCAGAGTCAACCCACTTGATACCATTTTTAGTTATTGCAACAGGCTTTGAGTTTTGAAAATAGTTTCTATTTTCAAATAGACCTGCAACATAAGGCATTCATATAGACTTCTTATTCTATTCGTCCATACTTTGGTTTTTATTATAAATTGGTGTATTTTCTCTTACTGGTAAACAAAAGTTGTTTGCTATAGTGTAACAACAAAGCTGCCTGGTCTGTCAAACTGTTAATAACACTCGTTTTGTAGATATTGGGAACATTGATATCATAATTTAAATATTTTCCGTATCACTCGCTTTTGGTATACAAATTCGTCCTAATAAAGGGTGTTTTTTAGAGGTATAGAACTTTAAATTGCAATAAAACAACGATTGATTTTTCGATTGACATGAATTTTTTTATTCGAAAGACAATCTTGTGGCATTAGATTTCAAATCGGCAATAACATGGCGAATGTTGTCTTCCAAATGGTCAAGCATTTGTGGCTTATCCGCATAGACCAATGACTTTACATAGCCCCACAGAAAATAGTCTAGCGGTGTTAAATCACAAGATCTTGGAGGTCAATTCACAGGTCCAAAACGTGAAATTAGGCGGTCACCAAACGTGTCTTTCAATAAATCGATTATAGCACAGCTCCTGGACATCGTGATTGTTCAATTCAGGAATGAAAAAGTTAGTAATCATGACACTATACCGATCACCATTAACTGTAACGTTCTGGCCATCATCGTTTTTGAAGAAGTACGGACCAATGATTCCACCAGCCCATAAGGCGCACCAAACAGTCAGTTTTTCTGACTTGAGGATTAGCTTCACTCCAAATGCGTCAGTTTTGTTTGTTGACGTAGCCATTCAACCAGACGTGCGCTTCATCGCTAAACAAAATTCGCTTATGAAAATCGGGAACAACGGCAATCTCGTTTTGGGCCTATTCAACGAATCTACGCCTTGCTTCATGATCGTATGGCTTCAATTCTTGCACCAGTTGGATTTTGTAAGCACGCAAACCAAGATCCTTCCACAAAACCTTCCATAAAGTGGATGGACACAGATCCAATTCCTGTGCTCGATGGCGGATGGACTCATTCGGGTCTTCCTCAATGCTACGCTCTACAGTAGCAATACTTCTGTAAGCACCGTACAGCGTCTTTGGGGTTATCAATTAGAGTAAACTTGGTGCGAAAACGTTCCATGGTTAATCGAATTAACTGCTCTGATGGACGATTTTGTCGACGATAAAGTGGACGTAGTGTGCGATACGTATTCCGCACATAACCACTATTTTCGAAATAAAACTGCACAATTTGCAAGCGTTGTTCAGGCGTGAGTCTGTTCATGATGAATTGCCAAACCAAACTGGGAATAAATCACTTGACATCTGTCAAATCGGTCGCCATCTTCAAAAGTAATGCCAACTTAAAGTTCTATATCTCGAAAAAAACACATCCGTTTTATAACCCTCATTGTTATATTCGAGAGCTATATAGAAAAAGTTAATTTTTTGTCAGTTTCAATTTCTTTTGCAAGCTGCCGTCTAGAATAAAAATTATTAACTTCATTAAAGATGCTTTGTGATATGATTTTATGTATACAATGTAGACAATCATCTACATACCTCTTATAAAAAGTTGGTTTGACTGACAAACCTTCAAGGACAGTTTCTCGTAAAGAGGAAACATTTTGTACATTGCGAATATGTATGAGCTTTCTATTATATTTCTATTATACGGACTACAGACCAAACGATTTGATAAATTTTGACACTTGAAGTGTCCTTAGATTCGTCTCCATAGCTCAATTAAGAATTCATCCTCTTAGGTTACTGCAGTCGGACTTTTCCTAGGTACGAAAATTTTGCGCTATAATTCTTCAAAATAAGGTTTAAATGATACTATCGGAAAAACTTTCATAAAAAAATGTACGCATCTAAAATATCGACTAAAATCCCATTATTGTTGAGTATATAACGAATCTGATGTCAGTTCTTATAACAAGATCTCTTCTTTCGACTACGCCTTATTAGATTTCATGAGGCTGACGGTATTCAACCCAAGTATCTAATAACAGTCTATCTGACTTTGTAACGTACAGAGTAATACCGACGGTAATCATATTTTGGAGTCTGTCTCTCTAGAGGTATGGTCATTAGTAATGTACTTATAAGTACTTTATAATCCAAGAATATAAAATCACTGTCTAACAAACTGTCGAACTAGCAGGCTGTCGAAGCTGAGAGTTTTTGAACATTGAATCTGATCACTGAACTCAACAATTAATCAACAACAACGTTATAGTATGTTCTATGAATGTTCTTCGTTTAGAAGAGTCTATCTGAATCTGCAATAAAATATGAAAACATTCCGTTAAAAGAATTGACAGGTTTGGACAATTTTTCATTGGAATGATGGATGGATAGACGAAGAAGTGAAGAAGATTCATACAACACACTATAGCATTTTGATGATTGGTTGTTGAGTTATAAGCGACTCAATGTACAAAGACGGAAAGGCTGTATGGACGAACGGTAGTAGTATTCTACTATCAAAGCTTTTCTTCATGTAGTTTGATCATATTAGACGAAAATACCCCTAACTTGCGAAATAAATGTTAAGTTTGGTTTTATTGATGCAAGTTGTTCAAGGGAGTATTTAAGGTTTTATTTTATCTTGTGTAGCTCTTAAGACTATTCTAATTGTTTATACCAGATTTAGCCAACGTCAGCTTGACATTTTCAGTGTCAAGTATAGTGGTACAAACGTCCAGTAAACCAAGAGGCGTGATGGTGTATTAGGAAGGTGTAACTGTTGCAGAACAGCAGGACGGAGGTTGGAATCCCCAAAGCTCCCTTTTTCTATTATTTTTTTTTTCAATAGGCGAAATAAATGTCTTTTCACATTATGTTTACTTTTATTGTGATCAAACAACTTTTCGCACGCCATAGACAATGTAAACTTGCAAACTTAAGGATTAAACATTCTGTAACTTTATTCATGTCTTCAAAGAATTTATTAAGCAGAATTTTGTACAGTGTAGTCCATTTCACTATAATTTTTTTTTACAAACTTCGTGTCTCATTTGCCGCCGAGTAAAAATTTCAGCTCCAGGTATGTATACCTGAGAGTATGAAGAAATCTTTTAATTTTTTTTTTCTTCGCAACATAAGGTAGATATATCCGCTTTATTTTAAAATGTGTATAATAACGTATGTTTTGAAAATATCGTAGCGCAGCTGTTCAGTTACTCACCAATACCAAATGCTTGAATTCGTTTTGAAGAAAAAAACATAGCCCTTGTTTTTCGCACAACAATAGCATTAATTTTTCGGAATAGTTTGTAATTAGTATCGGAAAGGTAAACTCGTGTGTTTTGCTATAAAATGCCCTTTGAACGAACCCTGTATATTTCTCAATAAATAAGTAGGCCGGAAAACATGTGTTTTGGAATAAACAATTAGGAATTCTCAAAAACTACCTGATCAATCTCATTAAAACCGAAAAATCGTATCTGAAGAGTTTTTTTCTGCCAATACTTTCGAGTGAATCCCAAAAAACACGTTTTTTCATTTTTGTTGTCTAATAAAGGGCTTTCCTACAAAAATTGGTGTACACATTTTATGCGTCCATATTTGAAATATCCTCTTGAACAACTTTCATCAATAAAGCCAAACTACAATTGTTTCGGGGAAATTTTCTGATATGATTAGACTAATACTAGGATAGACAACCATTCAAAATCTTAAGAACACCTCCTTGGAGTTCGAAAAAAATTTCGCATAATGTCTATGTATGTTATATTTTTCCACAGGGTATCCAACGTAGTTTCTCTTTATTCTTCAACAGAAAACAGATTTCCGAAATGCTCCAATACGTCAGAACCACATTTTGGAAAGAATCTGACTTAGATATGACCGACGAGGAAAAGTACATTTGCAAAAAATACTACAATAGACTAAAATCGCCATGTACGTGTTCGCCTGCTCATGTACTTCGAATCTTTTCGGATTTTGTTGCCAGACTTTTTTTTCTGATGAGAATATTTTACCTTTGGCTTGTTATAAGCCGGACTGGGTGCCCTTCTATTCTTTTTGGTTTTTGCAGGTAGGAACAAAACCAATTCATTTTTAATCATAGCATGGATCAAAATAATAACATTAACAATTGAACACAGTGCCTCCGTGAAAATAAGCTCACTCCCGTAGCGCCGCCAAACATTTGAGTTTGCAACTACTCGTATATGTATACTTACCGACCAACGTCTTTAGGTTCTAAGGTTGAAACCTCTCGAGATATATCTTTTTTACTTCCATGCGCCTTCTAGACCTTGCAGACGCGAAAAATTTCGAATAAGATATGTTATATTATGATATTATGTTTTTTGAATGTTATATGACATTTACATCACAAAAAAAACATGTCACCCATTCCCCTGGATCTGTCTGTCGTCTGTCCGCAAATCCGTGACCAGTCTATAACATGGAAAGTACTGCTCGGAGGTGGATGACCTTTTTCACACAAAGTTATCACCATGCATGAAAAAGCCTTGTGGATTTTAAAAATCGACCCAGTGGCGGCGGAGTTACGGGCAAAAACACGAAAATAATAGAAATCGCTCAAACCTCGGATGTCGACGTTTCAGAGAATTCTGATTATTTTTGAAAAATTAAGTTAATTTTTTTATGTTAGCATCTTAATACACTTCCAGCCCCGGTAATTCTACGCACCTCTCAGACTTATTGCACACATAATAGATTTACCCGTACATTTTCAACCACACCACCTTATGCCTTCTTGGCAAATCATCAGCTAGGTCTCTGAGACAACAAACGAAAGTATAGCAACTATCCTCTAACCAGGATAAAGTGTATGGCGCTGTCTTATTTCGATGGGGTCTAACTTGTGCTGAATTAATCCTTTACGAACTGATGGCGGTGTTGCATAGAAAATGTAGAGACAACCCACTTTACGACATTTTTGAGATACGTTGTAACTTGTTCTGAACATTCTCTTTCATGAACTCAAGATGGCGTTGCGTGGGAAGTGGAGAGTGAACCTACTTGACACCATTTTTCCTCATTGAGAATACGAAATAATAGGAAAAAATGTTAGTGAAGTTGAGGGGTGACCATTACTTGGCAACTTTTATTTAAACATACACAATTTTCTTTGAAAGGGAAATGCTGCCTATTTTCAACACTTCTGAGGAAATCACACCGATGCTACTTGGCAATAAGCTTAAGGATTCCTAGGATTCGGCCCCACCCCCTGAATAAAGCTACCAGCGCTTCTCAAAAAGTTTTGAGGGCAAGCTAAACTTTCACTTAATTCTTTCTCCTATATCTCTCTATTACTCTTTCTCATATCTATCTTCTTCTCCTATCTCCTCCTATCTCCTTCTCCCATCTCCTCCCCTATCTCCTTCTCCTATCTCCTTCTCCTATCTCCTTCTCCTATCTCCTTCTCCTATCTCCTTCTCCTATCTCCTTCTCCTATCTCCTTCTCCTATCTCCTTCTCCTATCTCCTTCCCTATCTCCTTCTCCTATCTCCTTCTCCTATCTCCTTCTCCTATCTCCTTCTCCTATCTCCTTCTCCTATCTCCTTCTCCTATCTCCTTCTCCTATCTCCTTCTCCTATCTCCTTCTCCTATCTCCTTCTCCTATCTCCTTCTCCTATCTCCTTCTCCTATCTCCTTCTCCTATCTCCTTCTCCTATCTCCTTCTCCTATCTCCTTCTCCTATCCCTTCTCCTATCTCCTTCTCCTATCTCCTTCTCCTATCTCCTTCTCCTATCTCCTTCTCCTATCTCCTTCTCCTATCTCCTTCTCCTATCGCCTTCTCCTATCGCCTTCTCCTATCGCCTTCTCCTATCTCCTTCTCCTATCTCCTTCTCCTATCTCCTTCACCTATCTCCTTCTCCTATCTCCTTCCCTACTCCTTCTCCTATGCCTTCTCCTATCTCCTATCTCCTTCTCCTATGTCCTTCTATCTCCTATCTCCTTCTCCTATCTCCCTCTCCTATCTCCTTCTCCTATCTCCTTCTCCTATCCCTCCCTATCTCCTTCTCCTATCTCCTTCTCCTATCTCCTTCTCCTATCTCCTTCTCCTATCTCCTTCTCCTATCTCCTTCTCCTATCTCCTTCTCCTATCTCCGTCTCCTATATCCTTCTCCTATCTCCTTCCCTATCTCCTTCTCCTATCTCCTTCTCCTATCTCCTTCTCCTCTCCTATCTCCTTCTCCTATCTCTTCGCTCTCTATAGCTCCTTCTCCTATCTCCTTCTCCTATCTCCTTCGCCTATCTCCTTCTCCTATCTCCTTCTCTATCTCCTTCTCCTATCTCCTTCTCCTATCGCCTCTCCTATCTCTCTCCTATCTATCTCCTTCGCCTATCTCCTTCTCCTATCTCCTTCTCCTATCGCCTTCTCCTATCTCCTTCTCCTATCTCCTTCTCCATCTCCTTCTATCTCCTCTCCTATCTCCTTCTCCTATCTCCTTCTCCTATCTCCTTCTCCTATCTCCTTCTCCTATCTCCTTCTCCTATCTCCTTCTCCTATCTCCTTCTCCTATCTCCTTCTCCTATCTCCTTCTCCTATCTCCTTCTCCTATCTCCTTCTCCTATCTCCTTCTCCTATCTCCTTCTCCTATCTCCCTTCCTCCTATCTCCTTCTCCTATCTCCTTCTCCTATCTCCTTCTCCTATCTCCTTCTCCTATCTCCTTCTCCTATCTCCTTCTCCTATCTCCTTCCTATCTCCTTCTCCTATCTCCTTCTCCTATCTCCTTCTCCTATCTCCTTCTCCTATCTCCTTCTCCTATCTCCTTCTCCTATCTCTCCTCGCCTATCTCCTTCTCCTATCTCCTTCTCCTATCTCCTTCTCCTATCTCCTTCTCCTATCTCCTTCTTCTCCTTCTCCTATCTCCTTCTCCTATCTCCTTCTCCTATCTCCTTCTCCTATCTCCTTCTCCTATCTCCTTCTCCTATCTCCTTCTCTATCTCCTTCCTATCTCCTTCTCCTATCTCCTTCTCCTATCTCCTTCCCATATCTCCTTCTCCTATCTCCTTCTCCTATCTCCTTCTCCTATCTCCTTCTCCTATTCCTTCTCCTATCTCCTTCTCCTATCTCCTTCCCTATCTCCTTCTCCTATCTCCTTCTCCTATCTCCTTCTCCTATCTCCTCTCCTATCTCCTTCTCCTATTCCTTCTCCTATCTCCTTCTCCTATCTCCTTCTCCTATCTCCTTCTCTAATGAAACTTCAATCAACCCAACATAAGATTTATAGAAGAGGGGCCTGGTATGTCACTCTGAACATAGCAAAGCATGCGTTAAACAACGGTTAGAAGCAGAAATCACCATTACTGTTCCCACTTTTTTTTTTAATATCATTTATCTACGATGGGACGGTAATAGGTTTCGGGCGGCAAGTCAAGGCAGTTAAGTAACTTTACTACTGTCTATCTTTAATTTGCCCTACTTCATCGTCGCGCGACGGTGTAATTGTTTGTATGTAGTTATAAACTTACAGTTCGATTGTATAAATTCAAATATTACAGACAACTTTTCAATTAAGCTCAATTAAAAATTTTATATCAAACATTAGTTAAATGCCGCATAACCTATGGAATTATTAGCTGGGGAACCAGGAATAAGAGACATCTAAATTCGTTACAAATAATACAAAAACTATTCGTGAAAGGAATTCATAACAAACCTTTACTATATCCCTCTAAAACTTTTATATATAAAAAAATCATTTTGGTATAATGTTTTCCTTAAAAACGTTCGACCATTAATAAAAATTATGAATATGATACTAGAAATAAAAATAAACAAATAATTATTGCAACACCAAAAAAAGAAGTAATGTTGAAATCTTCTATATACTTAGGTTCAAAATTATATCATAACTTACCAAAATATATTAGAAAAAACCGAATATCATTAGTAAAAATTGATTTATACGAGTGGCTTTTGAAAACTATTATCAACATGAAGTAATTTATTAAACACTTATATCTTTTCTTCATTGCTAATCCACGGTCCAAAATTAATGTACATATTACAATTATGTTATATAGTTTTTTTCGGTAATATCGGTTTATTATAATTGCATATGTTATATCTATGTTATATGTTAGCATGATATCCACATACAAGGATATTTTCCTTTTGTGGAATATAAATTTGTTCACAATTTGTATCTGATGTGAATGAATTATTATCATTAATAATGTTATTTATTGCTGCAACGACATCAACCGGCATCCGGTGGTCGTTTCATCAATTCTTATATCCGCTCAAAAGCAAAACTATTTTTTTAATTACTTTATGGCCGATCAATAAACTTTTTGTATACTGTGCATAATAGGCGTTGGTGTCCCTTGGCGTATTAAAGTCCGCGGCCAGAATTTGGTGTTCCGGGCCATAAACTCAAACGTTGCGTCCTAGATACGAGGATCGATCCAAATATAAGGTTCCCAAAGAGCTTCAGCCACACGTTTCGCCGCTTTCGACAAATATACAGCTTTCCACTTTTGATCCCAAGAATTGCAATATTTGTTAGATAACTCGCTTTTTGCACTCCAAAGGGACTCCATCCGTGGATATTCATCGTCAGATGACATATGTATGGCGACATGTGTGTGTCCGTTCAACACGCCTGAAAGTGGTGCAATGAGTTTAGTGGCGATCGGAAGGAAGTCCACGATGAAGAACGGAGTAAACGACTGTCAGTCTCGTGTCGGTTGTCGAGATGGTCGTCCACAAAGTGGAACCGTCCCTGAACTCCTAAGAACCCGAGCAACAAGTTGACTGACGATGATCCTCCTGTTTTGAATCACTTCACATTGGACCATCTCAATAACCGCCTCTGAGACTGACAGTTATCCACTCCAACCGAAACAAAATCCCCTGCATTATTTTTGGACGTGTCGAATGGGCTTACACTTGTTGCCATACAGCTCTGAAAAGTGACGATGAATATTCACGGGTAGAGTCTCTTTGGCGTGCCAAAAGCGAGTTATGGAACGAATCTTTGCCTAGCACCTTCCAATGAGGCTGAAGCGCTTTAGGAATCATGTTTTTGGATCAACCCCCGTACACAAATCACGGGCGTAGCTAGCAGTACCGTCTGGGGGGTAGTAAAAGAAAAGTACACCAGATTATAAACTTCAGTCCTATTTGAAAAAATCTGACACTACTGTTGGGGCTGGACGGAGGTGTAAGCCACACTACTAGTCGATTATTGACATCAAAAAAACTTATGTTAATTTTTCAAATTGCCGCTGATTTCCTTTGGTGTGGCATCTTCTGTCGATAACCCTTTTACTTCAACCCGCTTTTTTAACAAAAACCTGAAATATTTCATGAAAAACAATGAAATAGTTCAGTTCGTCTTTTACGACTGGGGTATGGGTTTTTTATTATTAAATTGTTTAATAAAATTGACACGGGTTTGTTGATGTAATATCACCCAGTTGCGAGCTCACTAGAGTATTTCCCATATCAGTCGTTCAACCTGACACAACGGAAGACAGGGAGAATTCTCAGGTGTCGTAGTGTTTTAGTTTCAAATTGGAAGTGTTCCCTGTCAGGGTATCTTTACGGTATTGCCGGTATTTCTTCCAATAAATATTAGAAAATGTATAAGTTTGTAACACATATTTATTAGCTTGGCCTGTATGTATGTATATATGTATGTATGTACTCGTATGTATGTATGTCCCAACTAGCAAGGTAGTGCTATAAGCTTTTGATAAAAGAAACGTTCGGTCGTAAAAGCACTCTATTGTTGTAGCCTGAACATCAAAATGCTGGCTTAATGTTGTGTGGAATGTAAATTTGCTTTCTGCAGCATATTTGTTCTAAAATGAAGTGTTCAGAATATTCTGATAGCATAGCCATACAACACCTTATAGGACAAATTTTGGACTGTTGCATAAACGTTTATATAACTATTTTATAGGGCATATTTGCGCGGTAGTCAAAATACTATAGTTGTGTTATGCTGTTTTGCTGTGCAAATTTACTACTTCAGCCAACAAATTGCTCCCAACGGAAGCACTTATACAACTGTCGTTTAGTAACTGGTAAAGGCTGTACATCTGCAACAATATTACAACTTTTGTAGTACAAAATTTCTGCGCTCGGCATACATTTGTTGCTAAATATGTTGGTATACAACTTCACCATAACCTAACTTTCTGCTGTCATCTTGTTAGTTGAAATTCCATAACTAATATTTTAAGACAAACAACGCATGCATATTGGTTAAACAGGTTTTATCAACTGTTCAAGCAGAAGATATAGGTCAAGTACAAATTCTGGGTAAATAATTCGACTCTGTCCGTATTTCATTTCAGAGATTTGTCAAATTGTTGTATAACACCTGCAGACAACACCAAAATATTCTAACAAACCAAAGACAACATGGACGAGGCCATGATTATACATAACTACCCGCCATAATGGGCAAAAATATATTCCTCTATTGAAAATTAAATAATTGTTTCAGTTCGACATTACAGATATAAAGTGATAAACATTAGTGTAATTGTGTCTAAATACAGGATTTGCGGAAGATTCAACGCAGACAAGTTCAGTTTTATATCTTAAAAATCTAGACATACTTTTGATCATTATTAAAATATGAATCGAATACAAAGCCCGTAGGAATTGCTTAGCTACTTTGCACGATAATCACTATAAAATTTGCTGCGCCAGTAATTCAGTAGCCCTATATCACAGTGTATGTATGTATGTAGGGGGGGGGGGTTGGCTTTGGACAGAATTCCATTAGCCACAGATTTTCTAAATTTGTATTACGTGTATATCACAGTGTAGAAGTTTATCATATACTCGTACCTGCTTATGAAATTCACAATGGCCGATATGTAAGTAAACAAGATGTCTGTAGTGTGTTAGTTATATATTCTTCACTTCGCCTATACAATACATAAGAAATAGTTGGGTTGCAATAAAGTAGAATCACGTAAGAGAATAGTTGTATAGTTGATAAAAACTGAATCTTGCATTGACGCAAATGTTCTATAGCGGCTGCAAGAGGTTTACACTTTTGTTGTATAACTGTTACCTGCAGCCCTTATTCAACCTCTTGAATAACTGAAGTGTTCTATTAGGTGTGTCCATTCCGATTGTATAGCTGTTCTAAGAGCGTTTTGCCAATGTTCTTACAGCATACAATGCTGTGTAAGCGCTCGTAGGGGAGTGTCATCCTGCTTCGAAACGGCTTTCACATTTGTACACGCAAGCAGTGATAATTTGTAACACGTAACTCCCCTTACCCACTCCCCCCCCATTGGCTACGCGCATGACATAAATAGTTATTTTGTAGGTTCTTGTGATCTTTTTCGGTGTTAATATGGCAGTCATTTGCTTGGACACCTTGATTATGACTTTGATTGTACTGACTCATATACAATTCAGATTGTTAAATCACGAAGTTGAGAATTTGTACTCATATGGACTTGGACAAGGAAATCGAAAATATTTTGTTAATAAGTTGAAGAAAATCGTCAGACATCACAATTTTCTATTAGAGTGAGTATGCGTTGTTTTTTTTTTTGTATAAAATTCTTTGTGAAGGTCCCACAGATTGCTTATCAATAATATTTCAGGTTTACACAAAAGATAAATATGACCTTTTCTGAGACATTTTTAACATACATGGGTATAATTATTATAGCAATTTGCATAGAAATGTACAACTTATCAACAGGGTATGTATTTGTATTTAAACTTTTCTATACACTTTTTCATGACGTACTGTTTTCATGTTTCATCTTATTTGAAATAGATTCATTTACTTTAGCCTTCAAGATCCTCTTACTGCTTTATAAATTTTATGGATAGATAGATAGATAGATATATTTATTGTCTTGTAGATCATAAAAAAGACATAAGACTCGTCCTAAGAGGAAGGTACATAGTACACATAATTAAAAAAAAAACGAAACAAACATAAGTATTTACAAAGTACAAACAGGAACAACTTAAGGCGTACAGACATTCACATATAAACAAGGGTTAAAAAAATATATCACAGTGCGAGGTATTCAGACAAAGAGTAGAAACATTTTTCAATTAATAATTTTCGTAGTTTACATTTAAAACTAGCAATACTACTGACATTCCTGAGGTTAGCTGAAAGTTTGTTATATATTCTGGTGCAGGTGTATTCCGGTGACTTTTCCACCAACGTCAGTGTGTGTTTTGGAATACTCAGACTCTCACCTGCCCTTGTATTATAATGTGTGTTGTGATGTTTTTGTTCTGTATAAATTTTGTTTTGTTTGTATGTGTGAAAAGGGCGCCCTTATAAATATGAATGCTTGGTAGAGTCATAATGTTTTTACTTCTGAAGATATCTCTGCAGGATTCTCTTCTACGAATATTGAATATCAATCTGATTATTTTCTTCTGTTGAACAAATGCTCTAGAAATTGAAGTTGCTTGCCCCCAAATTATGATGTTTCTTGAAAAATGTGAGTGGACGAGAGCATAATATACATCTAGTAGAGCTGACTCTGATAAGCAAAACTTGAGCTTAAGAATCGCATAATATGATTGGTTCTTGTTACACACACTGTCCATGTGTTGTTGCCAACTGAGCTTTGCATCCATTTCTATTCCCAAGAATGTCGTAGTTTTAGATGTCTCATGATTTGCTAGAATATGGGCGTTTTGTATAAAAATGTACAACATGTGACTGTTCGAGGTTTAAAATCAAACGATTTGCTTGGCACCACCCTTTCATTTCACCTTTCACTTCATTTATTTTTGCAATAATGTCATTGCGTGTAGTTCCACTTACAAGAACTGACGTATCACCCGCATAATTTGTTACAAATCCAGAGAGATGCAAATCACTTATATATAGAATGAATACAAGGGGTGCTAGAACTGAGCCTTGCGCTGCTCCAATGTCGATACTGTACGTTGCGGATGTAATTCCGTTAACTTTTGTCTTGAATTTCCTGTCGGACAGGGAAGACACTACTCAATCTAATATAAAACCTCTTAAACCTAAATAAAATAATTTTTCCTCGAGAAGTCCAATGTCAATTGTATCGAAAGCTTTCGATAGGTCAAAAAAGATGCCAGCGATACATTTATTCATATCGAGATGTTTATACAGGGTGTCCCGAAAAAAGTGTGCAATATTCTAAAGCTTAAAATAGGAAGAAAAGTTCATATAAACATAGGTCGACAAACGTCCCCTAAGGGCACTACGGTCTTTTAAAGGGGCTCCCCTGAAGATGGTTTTTCCTTAATATTTCCGAAACGTGTTGAGATAAAGACATAAAATTTGGTATTCTAGCCTAGTTTTTTATGCTGGATTTAAAAATATTATCAATTTAGACAGATTTATTTGGAAGCGTATGTAACAGGGACGGACTCAGGTTATTTTAGCCCCAAAATTTTTGTGTGATTCTATTTTTGAAATTCAATTTTAGAATTTGAAAATTTATGGTTTTCTACATAAAAAAGATACTCTTATTGAATATGGATAAATTGTGCCATTTTTGAATAAAATCAAACTAAAAAATTTATCACAAGATAGGAAATGTACTGCTACTTTAAATGAATTGTTGAATAATTAGCCATGGCAACGAAAAAACTAATTTAATAATTGGTAAATATTGTTTAAATACATATACGTACATATTTCTATTGCAACATAGCTAACATTCAGGCAAAGAAATAAATTTTTTCTACGAACGAAATTGAAATTTGTTTAAAAAAAGAAGACATACAGTTGGATATACTGAAAACTAGCTTTACAATAAGTGTTCAAATAAATTCCCATTTTGTTGGATACAGAGTCTCGTTCGACGAACTAATGATTGCGTAGCCCGAAAAGTGGAAATCCTTTTTCTTCTTATTTCATTTGCAGCCTGATGGATTCTTTGAAGTAAATCTTCTTGAGTATTTAATTCAGTCGAGTAGACTAGGTCTTTTAATGACCCCCAAAGATAGAAATCCAATGGATTTAGGTCAGGTGAACGTGGAGGCCACGCTATAGGACCTACTCGGCCTAACCACCTGTCGGGAAAATTGACATTCTACCAATTTCGAACATTGCGTCCAAAATGTGCAGGGGCGCCATCATGTTGAAAAAACATATTTTCTTGAAAGTGCTGGCGCACATCCAATGTTATTATATCCATGAGCTCATGCTGAAGAAAGTTAAGATACACACAAAATTCCTAGTAAATATTGACTCATCCGACCATAATATTCTAGGAGTAGTGTTTTCATTTGCTAATATCCACTGGCAAAACTCGATTCGTGGTAAAAAATCTGCCTCCGTTAAATGCTGCACCCATTTAAAATGATAAGGATGTAATCCTTGCATTCTTGTCATTCTTCCTATCTAAAATTATTATTTTTAGGATAACTATCAAATAGGTATTCATAAATTTTTCTTACTATTGATCGAGGTATATCCATAATTTCTGAAACATTTCGTATGCTTATTTGCGGATTATTTAAAGCAATATCCATACGATGATTTCCCAGTGGCCTTCCTGAGCCCTGCATCCGCTGAAAACTTTCATGGTTTGACAAATTCCGGTGAATATCAGAAACATTCGACGTCCAGGTACTATGCGATTGGGAAATCTTCTTTGATATCCTCTTACGGCTGCCAATGAACTGCCATTGCAAAACCCGTACACAAAATGCGTGTCAGTCAGTTCTCTGTCTGTAAATCTTGGCATTTTAAATCGATTTAATAAAAATTTTGATTTCAATCTAGTAATTTTACACTGCTAAGAATGTCAGCTTAACGTCAAAATAAGTCAACGATTCAAAATAACTTTTGCAGTCATGGCTAACTATGTATAATCAACAATTCATTTAAATTCGCAGTACATTTCCTATCATGTGACAAATTTTCTAGTTTGATTTTATTCAAAAATGGCACAATTTATCGATATTCAATAAGAGTACCTTTTTTATGTAGAAAACCCTAAATTTTCAAATTCTAAAATTGAATGTCAAAAATAGAATCACACAAAAATTTTGGGGGTAAAATAACCTCCGTCCCTGTTACATACGCTTCCAAACAAAACTAGGCTAGAATACGAAATTTTATGTCTTTATCTCAACAAGTTTCGGAAATATTAAGGAAAAACCATGTTCAGGGGAGCCCCTTTAAAAGACCGTAGCGCCCTTTGTCGACCTATGTTTATATAAACTTTTCTTCCTATTTTAAGCTCTAGAAACCGCTGGTAGAGTATTGCACACTTTTTTCGGGACACCCTGTATATCTGACATACAAACTCATAAGTAGCTGTCTCTATTGAATGAAATTTCCTAAATCCATGCTGCGAGCTTGGGATAATGTTGAACTTTTCAGCATATCCCAAAATTCTTGAATAAATCGCTCTTTCGATTATTTTAGAAAAGATTGACAATTATGATATGGGGCGGTAACTATCAACTTGAGTAGGATCTCCCTTTTTTGGAACGGGAAACTATTATCGCAAGCTTCAGGGATTTAGGAAATTTGTGTTGATAGACAGACATGTTAATTAAAGTAGTGAGAGGACCTGCAATTTCATTTAAAACACTTTTAATAACACGAGTAGTTACACCATCACTACCACACGATTGTTTGTTGGAAGGTTGGATATGATTAATTCCACTTCTGTTGCTGGTAGTGGGGAGACTCCTTTGAAGTGTTGTTGAAGCTTACTTACTACTGTGCTTGAAAAATATTTCCAAAAGTGTCAGGCACACTAATCTGTCGCATATCTCCACCGTTGTCATTTTTAAGTGAAATTACTCCAGAGTTCTTTTTACGTCCAAGCTCCTGGTTGACTATTTCTTTGTTGTCTTATTATCAGCTGTTTTAATTTCGTTGCAGTTATATTGCTGCTTGGCAATTGAGATCAGTTTGCGATGTTGCTTTTTTCTTTCAATATACGTTTGCTTCAGATTCATATCTTGCTCGTTCTCTCTTGTAAGTTTGTACAAGTTTCGTAGATTGTTGCTCGACTGTTTTAACTCCGGTGTTATCGATGATTTAGGTTTTGTTAAAGGTCTGCACGTAATAACTTTCTGTCCTATCGAAATGCCCCAGAAAGGTGTTGAGGAATTTTTCGAAAGCATCATCTATATCGGGCTCTTCAATATTCCAAGATTCTTGAGAGAGACTTAATCGCAGTTCTTCGAGATTACAATCATCGGTTTTCCTCACAGTATAAGATTGGACGGGAGACTTGTTGGAGGCGATAAGGAAAGATAGCGTTAAGATTTGCGCCGCATGGTCGGATATTTGAGGATCTTCTATGGCACATTTCAGATTTTCTGAGTTGATGTTCGTGGTCATGTAATCGATTGATGTTTTGGACAGACCAGTGGTTTTATTTGATGGTATGCGAGTTGGTCCGTAACAGTAGTTTGTTAGACCGAAGCACTGTAGGATGTCATTGAGTCGTAGACTATTTATTGACGGTTTACAGTAATAGATATTAAGATCTCCACAAAGAACTGTTTTTATTTGTGGTAGCTATTCGATTTAAGAGTCAAGTCAAGTTCTCCTGGAAAATTTTTGTGTCTTCTGGGGGAGGTCGATAGACACATATCACTACGAGTTTTTCATTAGAAGGTCCAAATCTAACCTGCAAGCCGCAGCATTCAATGTGCTTTTCTTGTGAATACTCATCTGGGAGTAAGATATCTTTAGCCTCAGCACTGTGACGAACAAATACGGCACATCCACCATGTTTATATCGATTTCTGCAGAAGCTGCTTACAAGTTTGTAGTTCTGAATGTTAGCGACAGCTGCAGCAGTCGTTGTTAGCCATGTTGCGGTGTCACAAAGAATATCTGGTGATGCTTCATCTACATACAGTTCTAGGGCGTCATATTTATTCTGGATGCTGCGAACATTTAGATGCACTATTTTTACGTTACGACTCCTTGGCGGATTCCTGAAAAATTTGACTGCTGTTCAAAAGTGGCTCTTTTGGTAGCGATGTGGATGGTAAGCTATATTCCTTAGAGGATTCCAAGTTTTCCTCGGTGTTTAGATTTCCAATCAACTTTGGGAATGATGATTTGGGTGCACTTATGTTTTGATGATCGATTTTCGGATGGTGCATACTTCCTACAGTCCCTATATCCCTATGTGTTCTTGTTCCGTTCTGAATTTCACTTTCTATGGAAGATTCACTTGGTCTCTTTGTGCTTACCAATAGTTTTATGTTATTACAAATGATGCGTTTACCCTTATTATTCAGTACATTGGACCTCTCCCTGTAGTAGTGATGTAGATTTGGGTTAGATTAAGAAGTTGAACTCCATTTTGTTCACAAATTCGGTGCAGCTGGTCATTTATATCTTATAATGTTATTTAAAACGGGCCTATGACATCTCTATTTCGGTACTGCAGCTATTATTACGTTGGTAGCTTTCAGTACTTTTAAAGTTTCTCTGAGAGGTTCACATTGAATGAAACCTTTTGTCAGCGCATCATTAGAACCGTCCATGATGAGTACATAGTCGGACTTCGTGAAATCAGTTGTTAGTTTTCGTGCATCTTTGATAATATTGTTCAGTTGGGAATTGGGATGTAACATCGATGTAACCGCAAACTGATCCAAAGGAAGAACTCGTCGAAGTATATGTATCAGATTCCGCCCTTGCTCATCTGCCAGGATTAATAGCTTACACCTCTTGTCTTCTGTAGTATTTGCTTCTGTAGGATTTGCTTTGATACAGTCTAGGTGATTTTTATCCCTTTTAGGTTGGTTTTTTATCGGTGTTAGTTGTGTCTGAGTTTGTGTGCTATTTGATGTGACTGCTTGAGTCTGTACATGGATACTGTTTCTACTACTTGGGTCCGTCTGCACATACCGATCAGTAACAACTGTCTTACATTTTACATTATTTATAATTCCTTCACGTTGTTCTATAGTCTTATCTTTGTACTTCAGCTTGTGTGCTAGTTTCTCTATCTTGCAGTTTAATGACATTATAGCGCTACTCAGCCCTTCGTTCTTGGCCAGCTCGGTAGCTAATTTATTTCTGACATCTAATAGTAAATTATCGTGGGTGTTTGTGTTTTCTTCAACTTGACTGTCGACTTGAATGTGAATGTAGCTATTGCTGTGCGATTTTCTAATCTTCTCAGTTACTGTTTTCTTCAATTTTGTCTGCTGTCATGTATTCATTTTTCTTTCACTGGAATTGTCACGACTTTTCCGAATACTTGGCAACATGCTTCGTTGCCTGTCGTATGTTTTGAGGTTTTTAACCACCTTGGAATCCTTAATATCGTAACCTCCTTACCAGTTTTTTCATCCGGATGTGGTCTTCTACACTAGCAACACATGACGCATAGTAATTTTTTTATTCTACTGCATAATACCACTTTTACGATGATAAATATTTGCACTGCGATTCTTGACATTGTTGTCACGTATAACAAAGATAAATATATTTCCCACTGATGTTTCATTGAACATAGAAAGTAAATCACAGTCTGCAAGAGGAACACGTTTCCCCCTACATCCTGTTTGCTTTCTATACCGGTGTGAAGTTGGCAGACAAAATTTAGCGCACAATTTGCCGAAGATATCCGAATGACCAGTGGCGTCGACATCCTCGACTAGAGTGTGATTGTGAAGGATACAGCTAACAGCTCGCAACAATAAATATACAGGGTGTCCGCAAAGTTGGGGTTTTCCTTTACACGACGTGTAGATCTTGAAAACATAAGCAATTTTTCTTAGTACCATATACACCAACGTCTTAAGGGAACCGAGATAAAGGGCTCTGCAACATCAAAAATATCTGAATACCGTCCTGTAGCCGCGACATCCCCGACTGGTACTAGGACACTAGCTCAACCCGACGACAGAACTGGGTCGGGGTCAGTGTGTCAGGTCAGTATGCAACCTTCAACCGACGGTTACGGTCACGCGTGTAGAGGTAATCGCGTAGACGAGAATCCCTCAACAAGCACTAGAGACGTGGCTAGAGAAGTGCAAGTATCAAAAACTAAAGTGTGGCAAACGCTGCGTGAAGAGGGGCTGTATCCGTTTCACGTCCAACGTGTACAAGCCCTTCAACCTGACGATTTTCCAGCAAGAGTGCGGTTTTGTGAGTGGTTGTTACATCAACATGACAATAATCCGGACTTTTTGTCGTGTATATTGGTGACAGACGAATCTACGTTCACGCGTAATGGGGTGAATAACTTTCGCAACACTCATGTTTGGTCAGGAGAAAGTCCGCACGCTGTCCGTCGGGCACATTTTCAACAAACATTTTCGGTGAATGTTTGGGCTGGCATGGTGAACGGTATGCTCATTGGACCATTTATTCTCCCAAATCGATTGGACGGGATGCAATACCTAGACTTTTTACGCAACATTTTGCCTTTCTTGTTTGCCTGCGTCTGCTCGGTAGCGCATCAGCTGATTTCATTTTCTCTTGGAGCGGTATGATTTCGGGCAGAGACGTACTTAGCCCTTCTCGTCAACTGGAGAGTGATTACTTTTTCCTTTATTTTTTTTTACTTGGTCGCCCTCGTTTCAATACACATTACCTTTGTTATTTCAAGGGTAGTTGTTTCTGAAAAGGAAAACCCCAACTTTGCGGAAACCCTGTATATGCACGAGAATAAGCACCCCTATAGGAAGAATCATTTTCCACCGTAATTAAATAATTCGCAGGAACAAGAGTTAACCCAAAACCTTTCTTCGAATTTTCACTTACGGATTATTGTATATACCTGTATGGTATTGAAAGTAAGTAATTAATGAGCTAAATAGCATATACTGAGAAAATCTCTAAAGGGGTGGTAGATAAAAAAATATAAATAAAACTTCATTTTCACCCCCAAAAAAATGATTCCCCTAAATGATTTATATCTCAAAAAAATACTCTATCACAGAGACAATTCATGGGCTAGGTGGCATGGTGTGAGAGAGCTTCTGAAAGGCTGGCAGATACACAAAAATGTTTATAAATTCATTTTCACCCCCAAGGAAATGATTCCCCAAAATCAGTTGGACCTCAAAAAAATTCCCTATTATAGAGACAATTTATAGGCTAGGTGGCATGTTGTGAGAAAGCTTCTGAAAGGCTGGCAGATAAAAAATATGTTTATTAATTCATTTTCACCCCCAAGGAAATAATTCCCCAAAATACTCTATTATAGAGTCAATTTATAGGCTAGGTGGCATGGTGTGAGAAAGCTTCTGAAGGGCTGACAGATAAAAGAATATGTTTGTGAATTGAATCTTATGAAAATTTTTTTATCTGCCACCCTTTCAGAAGCTTTCTCACACCATGTCACCCAGCCTATAAATTGTCTCTATAATAGAGTATTTTTTGAGGTACAACTGATTTTGCGGAATCATTTCCTTGGGGGTGAAAATGAATTTATAAACATATTTTTTTATCTGCCAGCCTTTCAGAAGCTTTCTCACACCATGCCACCTAGCCTATAAATTGTCTCTGTAATAGAGTATTTTTTTGAGATATAAAACATTTTGGGGAATCATTTTTTTGGGGGTGAAAATGAAGTTTTATTTATATTTTTTATCTACCACCCCTTCAGAGATTTTCTCAGTATGTGCTATTTAGCTCATTAATTACTTTCAATACCATATATACAATGATCCGTAAGTGAAAAATCGAAGAAAGGTTTTGGGTTAACTCTTGTTCCTGCGAATTATTTAATTAGGGTGGAAAATGATTCTTCCTATAGGGGTGATTATTCTCGTGCATATATCCGCTAAATTTTGTCTGCCAACTTCACACCGGTGTTTCCTATATTCCTCTAAGAGCGCAATTTTTAAAGAAACATCCGTTACATTTCTTAAAAGGTTAAAAATAAGTCCATGAATATTCCGTTTCAGTGATCATTAACTGAAAACATCAACCCCTGTGAAATGTTTGCAAACATTACGCATGCAACATAGATATTACTCAATCTGCCCTCATTTGTTAGCCCACCTATATGATGCTCATTATTCCTAATCAGGATTAAATGCCGCTGCAAGTAGTTGCTTGGACTGGGCGAAAATACCGTTCGCTTTTGATTTGTCAAATTTTGTAGTACTTAGAGTAATCATTATAGGGCTAATATGGAGCTGTTTATCAGAGCAACACTTTTTACTACAGCGACATTGTTTCAGTTTGTCGTGTTTTACTGCATACCAGCTCAAGATCTTACTGATGAGGTAAGTTTCTCAATGCAACGTCCCATCTCACCATCACTTTGGCTAGTACGTATTTGTTATTGAAATAATATCAGGCAAGCAACAATGTTCTGCCGCTTCTACTTATTTTTTGAACGGGTCAAGTCAGCAACCTATATCTTAGTTTAAAAGAAACAGTAGAAGATTCTCATTTTGGAACATTTTTTTCAAATAGAACGGGGGTCGTGTGATACCTCATTTTAAAGCTCATACTTCATAACCCTAAAATAAAAATCACCATCTTCCAAAATGATGAACTGACAGTTTGTTAAAGTTGTACGTTTTTGTCCATAAAGTCTCTGATAACTCAAGAACAATCATCTAAACGCTATAATATAAATTATATTATATCAGTCTTCTTGTCTTGGAAGGGTCGGTCCAAATATGTATTAAAATGATATTCTATCTACAAAAATGTCAAAATCTGTCATTTGTCATTTCTACAAACTGAATGTCTCATATTTTATAGCAAATTCAGATAGACCCTACCAAAATAAGAAGAGTTTGTCACCCACTGGACAGTCGGCAGTAGCCTTTAGGACGTTGCAGCATCGCGCCGTGCACGCCAACATCACATCGGAACTATATCATTTAATTTTCCCATTGTTACTGGGATCAGACACTTATTAATGAACGTATTCAACTAATACTAAAGACGCTACAGTCACAACCCCCTACGATTTTTATTTTTTCATCCTTGGCATAGAAGTAACCTTGTGTGAAAATTTCATCAAAGTCCGAACGGTACTTTTCAAGTTGTAGGCGGTTATGAAATGAGAGGGCAGACCGACAGACAGACCGAAGCAAATGAGTGAAATGATTTTTCGTGATGTACAGGTCATGTAACGTCCAAAAAATATCTCAATTTAGAAATTTTGCGAGATTACAATACTTCCTCGCCAGTTTTGACATAGGAAGTAAAATCATAATATACCATTTTCAACATTGTTGGTGATTTCAATACTGCCGTGCAAAGCAAAAATTGCTAGTATCGTGCTATGTTGTAATAGACCAATGGGGTAACGAAAAGTTTTACTTCCTTTTATTATCATATTTTCACATTTTTCAGGCCGAGAAAACATTCAGTAGAGCCTACTTCAGTAAATGGTACGAGAATTTGGAAAACGCACAGCCTACCAAAAATATTATCCTGCAAAGCCAGCAGAGAGTGTTTATAACAGCGGGGAGGCTGATTGACATCAATTTGGCTACCAGTTTAGCTGTAGGTATACAACAGTATTTATAGTTTGTCTTTTGTATTCAAAGATATTGAAGATGAAAAATTGGCTCAACCATGGGCGCCCATCCGGGGGGAGAGGGGACATATGGCTTCCGCTTGAGAAGTAACATATAATACCGTTTCTTAGCAACGAGTGGAGTGTGTTTTTCTTTACTGAGAAGAATGAAGAATCGTTTGTACTATAAAGACGAATCTAAGGACGCCTCTAATGTCAAAATCCAACCTTTTTGCTCTCTACTCTTTGAAAAAAAAACTCGAAGTTCAAGTTTGCGTTTAGGATCCGTACTGTCAAGGAAAATCGAAATGTCACAATCCAATAAGCGGTTGGAGCTGTAGCCCATAAAATAGGAATTGCAATGGAATTTTCAATTAAAATCCGCCATTTTTAGTTCAATAATACTTCAGTATACCTACTGCTACTCGCGCTGTCAAGTCATCTTATATTTTATATGAAGCCATTTTAGTTTTAGCCTGTGGAATAGGAGCTAATGTTGATCTTTCTTATTAAATTGAAGAGCATCTTATTTTCAATTAAGTCCCCTTAAATCTAGGTTGGGGTAATTGTTCGTTTTTGACAACTGTACTTCCAATGCATATACAAAAGTTTTTAGCAATATCGACTCGTTTCGAGATTATTCAGCAATAAAATGGTATCATATATTTTATTCCAGACCGTTAAGACAATGGTTTCCTACTGCATGTTCCTGAGAACCATGGGTGTAGACTAATGATGTGCGATGAAGACGAATTCACATTTTCTTTAGATTGTGTATAGTATGTAATAAAGAAATTGAGTTAAGATTGCTGTGACTATCTGAACGATGAACAAAAACAGACATATTATGCTCCAAACCAGATCTAAAGGTCTGAAACGTGATTGAGGAGTATGGAAAGTCTCGTAGGATATTGAAATTCAAATTATGCCATCTTGTAAAGGAGAAAACGTGGCAATGCTGATATACCGTTTATTTTGAGAACGATTTTGGAAAAATTAAGTTTTTTCCATCTATCATCCGAAATACTGAGAATTGCGGAATTGCGAATCTTTCTAAGTACCATTTGCTTAGTTACCTAAATGCACAGCCTTGTTCCCATTTAACCGATCTTGTATCTCTTATGGTTTCCATGTTGACAGTGAAATTTGAAACAGCATGTATATCTGACGATGGAAAACAGAGGCTTTTTAAGTATATTTCCATTTAAATTCTCCAGATATTGTATTTCTTACGTAAGGTCCTGTTACCCGCGGCAATGCAAGACCCATAAGGAAACGCAATTTATAGTGCCGGTGACTCCGTTATCCTGGAATCCTGAATCCTGTTTCCTGGCAAACTTTCAGTGTCTCGGGAATAATGCAATTTGCATATACGGACTGCGCCGTGTCCCGTCGACAGAGCTCGACGTGGACTCTAAAATTAGCAATTCATATGTTCCTACTGAACAGTCTTTTAGAGGCATTATGCATAATATGTGCTCTGTCCTTAAGATTGTATAAGCGTAACGAGAATGAGAAAGCTACTTAAAAATATTACTACTTGGAATCTTTTTCTGTGAATTTCTTGGAGTTGAAACTTTTATGCGTCATCCTGGTCTTTGCCGATTCTATCCTATCAAATACCTACGATCGTGTTCATTGGCGCCCTCAAATATTTTTCTCAGGGTTGGGGCGATCATCGACGGGACAACTTTTTATGAAGCTGTACCTCCCTCAAAAACTTTTTGAAGAGCAGGGAGGTAGCATATTTTCTCAGAGGGGCAAGATCCTAAAAATCTCCAAAATTGTTCATATCAAGCTGATTGTCAAGGAGATATTTCCCTTGTTCTCCACCGCTGCGCGGCAATCAATTTAGTTCCCTCACTATTTCTTACCACAATAAAGGTGAGAAGGTTGATGTTTTCTGAAATAGGGTTTCTGTAAGATATACATGGCACTATGTATAATAAGAACATTGATATGCGCCAGACTGACGAGGGGCAAAAAGTTAAAAAGTAAACAAAATCGCAATTTATGCTATAATTGATTTTACTTTTTTCTCACGTAATTCCTGACGTCACTAAACAGTATTTCAAACATTTGTTGTTTCATTGCGCAACTGGACAAACGTGGAGGATTATCAGGGAAACAAATGGCGTTAGGTTGATTGACTCTGCATTTCCCACGCAAAACCGTCATCAGCTCATAAATGATTTTGTTCGGCACGAGTTTGACCCTCTGAAATAAAGTTAGTTATAAACTTGTATAACAAATAAATTAAACGGATCAAGTCAGTCAAACAGGCCCACACAATAATTCCATAGATATTCCTTCCCTGCCCTACCGATAATTCATCTGGCAACGGCGCCTGTCCGCGATACCTGACGACAGGACGCGTAAGTGCACGTTTACATCGAACGCGCTTCGCTTGGAGCTGTTCGCCTCACTTCATGTCAAGCGAACCTCTATGCGTTCGGGTTCGTTCATATCGGAGGCGCTTCGCTTTTTAGACCTCGGCTGCTATTAAAACCCACTCATATTTATAGACGCATTTGCCGAGCAGTTCACAATGGCTCCTTTACGAGTTAAGAAAATATTACTACTCGAAAGTATTGCGTTTAAAAGGATCGAGGGTGCATGAGGTTAATATATGTGGGAAATCGTTTGGAGAATTCTATCACCTCTATGGAGATTTGGTGACGCATATAAATTTTTATGCAACGAATGCTTCGGATTTCATATTGCCTTTCGTTTAAGAACGGCGGTGATAGTTTGTTATTCCATTATATATGCAGATAACCTGCGGAGTTCTCTGAACAAGTGAGGCAAAACGCAACGCAAAACCAACACATCGCTTTTTCCACAGCTCCGCATAGTATAACGTAAGGCACAGTGCTTAGCGCCATGCACGCGGTTTGAATGCATTCATTTAAAGCTGTGTTCTCGTTCTTATAGCTTTCCCCTGGGCTGTAAAGTAAAGCGCACAGCCCCAAACGAAGCGCCTCCGATGTAAACGTACACTTAGACGTAACAGCACAGCAGAAAGGCCAGAAGACTTACCAAGGCCGGCACACTGGCCGGTGATCCTTGTCAGTAAAATCAGTGATGCGTATCGAAAGCATTTCTCTACCATTCTGTTTTAAGGGCAAATGTATGGAGAAATGTATGTATGTATGATTGATGAAATATGCCTAATAGGTAATAGGTGCATAGAACTACCAAGGTTGGGTGCGTACAAACACACTAAGATCAAAAAGAATTGAGATAACCCTCTTCCACTCCCCAATTCTTTACCCCTAATTTATTATTCAAAAATGATCAGAATCCTCTGAAACATCAAAAAATCAAGCTTATGCGATTTTATTGTTTTTCTGTTTTGGCCTTTTTCTTCGCCGCCACTAGACCGATTATCAAAAACCACATAGCTTTTTCGTTCTTGGCGTAGTAGTAACCTTGTTTGATAATTTCATCGAAAGCCGACTGGTACTTTCCATGTTATAGATGGACCAAGGATAGTGGAATACACAGACCGACCGACAGACAGACTGAAAGACAGACCGACAGACAGACCGACAGACAGACCGACAGACAGACCGACAGGCAGACTGAAAGACAGACCGGCAGACAGACCGGCAGACAGGCCGGCAGACAGACCGACAGACAGACCGACAGACAGACCGAAGAAAGACCTACAGACAGACCGATAGCCAGACTGACAGACAGACAAACAGACAGACCGACAGACAGACCGAGAGACAGACTGGCAGACCTGTAGGCGGACAGATCGGCAGAAAGACAGACAGGCCGGCAGACAGACCGACAGACAGACAGTCCGGCAGACAGACCCTCAGACAGACCAACAGACAGACCGACATATAGACCGACAGATAGACCGACAGATAGACCGACAGATAGACCGACAGATAGACCGACAGATAGACCGACAGATAGACCGACAGATAGACTGACAGACAGATCGACAGACAGACCTACATACAGACCGACAGACAGTCCGATAGAGAGACCGACAGGCAGATCGACAGACAGACCGACAGACAGACCGACAGACAGACCGACAGACAGACCGACAGACAGACCGACAGACAGACCGACAGACAGACCGACAGACAGACCGACAGACAGACCGACAGACAGACCGACAGACAGACCAACAGACAGACCGACAGACAGACCGACAGACAGACCGACAGACAGACCGACAGACAGACCGACAGACAGACCGACAGACAGACCGACAGACAGACCGACAGACAGACCGATAGACAGACCGACAGACAGACCGAGAGACAGACAGACAGACAGTCCGGCAGACAGACCCTCAGACAGACCAACAGACAGACCGACAGATAGACCGACAGATAGACTGACAGACAGATCGACAGACAGACGGACAGGCAGACCGTCAGGCAGGCCGTCAGACCTACGTACAGACAGACAGATCGATAGAGACACTTACACGCCGACGGATCCTCAGGCCGACGGACCAACATACTGACAGGCAGACAGACCGGCAGACCGAGAGACGGACAGACCGATGTCACTGTCTATCGGTCTGTTTTTTCTCTAATCCTTGGTATCTCTAACACTTGGAAAGAACCGTTCTGATTTTGACCAAATTTTGACTCAAGAACTGCAAGGACCAAATAAGTTTTGTAGGAATCGTAAGCGAAGAACAAAAAAATATCCAGTAAGCTCTTGAATTTGTTTTGTATGTTATATTTCTGGAGATTTTTGAAAAGTATTAACTTCGTTTTTCTTTCAGGGCGTTGTTAGCAAAAAATTTGAGATACGATGTACCTCAAACTAGGACTGTCTCTATTTTTTATAAGTAGCATGTTTTTATTATTTACTATATATTTTGCTACGAAAACAATAACCTTAAAGTTTGAGAATTAGTACAAAATATATTCGTATTAAAGCGCGAGAATTACTCAGTCAATTTACCAGAATCCTTTTTTTAAGTGTTAAGTAAAGCATCTGAATTATCTATCAGCTACTTATTTCTCTCCAGATTGCCTTTTCTATCCCTGACAATAACCGTAGTCACGTAGAAATCCCGATCACGATTTTACCAACTATCCTCTCGTTCGAATTCGAGGTTGTTTTTTCTGTTTTGAAGACGTGTGGCCTTCTCTTATCCCCTACTTGCTCACCATCCACCCCCACAAGGCAGGGCTACGAAAGTACCGTAAACATTCCCAAATTAAATATGAGGTCAGAAATGACGCGAAGGATCTCAAAATCCCGGATTTTTTTATTAAATTACAAAAACCTATACAGGGTGCTGAAGAATATCGACATTGATTTTTTTATATACCAAAGCGGCCGCGCAAGCAAAAGCCTCAGTACCAAGACAACGCAGCTAAGGAGCACTCGTATCGGCCAGTTCTGGATGTACGTAGTTCGAGACGGTTAGGATGGGAGGCCGAAGTCAGGCGGGTCTGTTTGGCAGGCGTATCGCACGGCGGCCCTCCTCTGGGCAGCATCGAGCAGAAATAATGTAGTCGGGGCTGCAGCACCCCAAGCGTGTAAGCAATACTCGAGGCTAGGTCTTATCTGGGCCTTGTATGGAGTGAGAAGATCATGCGTTGAAAAGTACTTCTTCTACTCCTTAGCCCCAAACAGATAGACTAGTTTTTTCCCAGCAGCTTCCGCTAATGACGAGATGAGTTCGTGCCAGAACAAGTCCTCGGTTTTGTTAATCCGATTTGTGAACTGCCTAAGGTTCTGGGAAAAGCTTCCTCTTGTAGATTGTTCCATTGAGAGATACTATCGTCATCCTCATCAAATCAGAAAAAA